TCAGGAAGATTCCCTGGAGGAGGGAATGGCAACCCATTCCAGTATTTTTGCCTGGAAGATCCCATGGACAGAGGAGCCTGGAGGGCTACAGTCTATAGGGTCGCAAATAGTTGAACACGACTGAAGTTACTTAGCACGTAGTACTTTTGCAAGGAAATATTAATATTTCTTTAAACACCAAGCCTAAAAATAAATAAATAAATAAATAAACACCAAGCCTAAACATTTTTTTTGTATATGACATTGTAAATCTTTCAATTTTTAGCAACTGAATGAAATTGACAGGGAGTATGATCTGGTGCATTATATCCACTCTGAACATAAAACCAGTGAAATTCATGGAACAGTGATTATCCCACCTTGATTTAGTAAACCACAGAGCAGTAAAAGTCAAGGTTGAAGGGTAGGGACTTAATCTTCACTGCTGTGCTCCCCTAATACCTGGAACAGTGCCTGGACACAGTAGGAGGTCAGTGAATATTTGATGGATGAGTGAATGAAATTAATTTGACTCTGGTTTACGAAACAATGCTAATAAAAGTAGATGTGATTTAAAAAATACCATAGTGAAAATGAATTCCTGTGTCTTCTTTATAAATATTGTTTTAATTATGGACTATCTCTTAGGAGTTACACTTACAAATTTTTATTGAGGTATAAGTGACATATAATATTAATTTCAAGTATAAAAATGATTCAATATTTGTATATATTATGAAACGATCACCATAATAAGGCTAACCAGACACAGTTGCAAAAAAACCTTTTTTTCCTTGTGATGAGGACTTTCAAGATATACCCTCTTAGCAACTTTTAAATATGCAGTATAGTATTGCTAACTGTAGTCGCCATGTTGTATGTTATCCTCATGACTTATTTATTTTATAACTGAAGAATTTACATTTTTAATTGATATCTGTTACAGTTCAAGAACTTAAGAAAAAGGAAAAAAAAAGAAAAAAATTTACTTTTAATTAAAAGAGTATTCTTGTTTTGACAGCTTTTGTTTCATTTTCCATTTTAAAAGCTGTATAAATCCTCACATCTTTCAGAAATTTACAAAGTACTCTTCAACCACTATTTTATATTGAGTATTGTTTCTGAATGGCGATAAGAACTATTTGTGCCTTAGTGAAATGTTTAAAATAGACAGTAATGAATGAATTTAGAACCATTGTTTATAGTAATTTTCTCTGGATGTATGGGATTATAACTGCTTTGTTTTCTTCATTCGCTTGTTTTAATTTAAATAATGAACACCTATTGTTCTTTAAAAAAATAAAGACAAAATACTGGAGAAATGTCCCTAGCTATGTAGCACCTAAAGTCTTACACTAAATCCTTTAAGAAACCAAACTACTATGAACCAAATATATTCTGGGGATGCAGCTAGAGCAATGAACCAACAATCCTTGCTCTCTTGAAAGTTACACGCTAGGAGGGGTGGAGTAGGACAGGTAATAAATAAACCGGCTCTACAGCAGAAAGCTGTCAGAGAAAGAGTGAATCTAAAGAGCTGTCTAGAAAGAAACTATGGACATGCATCACTTTGCAGAGAATATTCTCTATTCATTTGTTTGAAGACCTTACACTCTTAAATTCATTTGTTTGAGGACCTTAAATACTTTTTTTAAAAAAGAAGTTAAAGTAACGCATGCACATTAAAAAAAAATAAAGAACATCAGGGTTTTTAATGAAAGGTAACATTGTTCTGCGAATCCCCCCAATCCTGTTCCACAGACACCATTAATTTTTTGTCTTCAGTTCTTCAGGCAGTAACATCCATGTATGTAAAAGTGTACTTATATTGCTATTTATTTAGCACCAGTAGACATTATCTATTGACTTTGTTATGATTGAAGTGCTACTACCTCTTTCCCTCCACACAGGTCTACTACTATTTGTGGTTATTCTTATGGGATAATTGAATGATATGTGCTTAGTCATTCAGTTGTGTCCTACTCTTTTCGACCCCATGGACAGTAGCCCGTCAGGCTCCTCTGTCCATGGGATTCTCCAGGCAGGAATACTGGAGTGGGTTGCCATGCCCTCCTCCAGGGGATCTTCCCAACCCAGGAATCGAACCCAGGCCTCCAGCATAGCAGGCGGAGGCCTGCTTCACCATCTGAGCCACCAGGGAAGCCCTAATGATATGAGTAAACCTTGATTTTTTTTTTACCAAAAAAAGTATTTAATGATTTCCCCACTTGGTAAAATGAAGATCTAGGAGCTCCTACTGGCTTTCAACTTCTGCCATTTCCCTCCATCTTCCAAACTTTTGTCAACTGAGTTGTAATAATTTTACAGCAGACATACATTAAAAAAACACTCAGTGGCTAAGCTCTGAAATCTCTGAAAATGGAATGTGAATGCTTTTTATGAAACAGAATTGAGAAACTTCTTTTGTCCTAACACCAGCCAAATCATGGGACTGAACACAGTCAATGCCTAGGTGGCAGGGCTGGGACTAGGCCTTGGTCACAAAATTTAAGGGGGCACCAAAAACTCAGAAGTCAAGACAGCTACTATTTTGATGTAATACTTTAAAAACAAAAATTAATGTAAAAGAAAAAAAACCAGTCCAGAATGAAGAAAATAAAGGCATTTAGAAATAAAGATAGGCTCAGAAAAATGAGTAGAGGAGAAAAGTGAAAAACATGTTTTTTCCTTTCACTGTGCCATGCGGCATGTGGGATCTAGTTTCCTGACCAGGGTTTGAACCTGCATCCCCTGAAAAGGATGGTGGGTGGCCAGGGAAGTCCTCCGAAATGTTTATATTTGCACCCCACAATTAACGGTGGTCTGTGCCTCTTTCTATAGCATCTATGATTACATAGGTTGTGTATTAGAGCTGAAAAAGGTTCAGATGAGAGAGGAAGGTGTGCCTTTCAGATTAGGAATGTGTGTGTGTGTGTGTGTGTGTGTGTGTGTGTGTGTGTGTGTCATTCAGTTGCGTCTGATTCTTTGTGACCCCATGGACTGTAGCCCACCAGGCTCCTTTGTCCATGGAATTTTCCAGACAACACTGGAGTGGGTTGCCATTACCTTCTCCAGGGGATCTTCCCAACCTAGGGGTCGAACCCGGGTCTCCTGCATTGCAGGCAGATTCTTTACCATCTGAGCCACCACGGAAGCCACTGTGTACTATTGGGGTGCCCCCACACTTTGGCTTCAAGACTTGCAAACTAATGCGATGTTGAGTTAAGAGACAGAATTTTTGTGTCTTTAAAGGTGACTGGAGAGGAGAGGCCAGCAGATGAATTTTCTTATTTGTTCAGAACTCCATGCATTTTCAATGTAGTTTCCTTCCCTTGCTCTGTGCACGTCTATTGGTCCAGGCAGCACCGGTGCTTTGAATGAGGGTCAGCAAAGGGGTTACCCTCCTGATTATTCCCTTCTAGCAGAGAGGAGGAGGAAGCCCCTGGCCCCCTATCCACCACTGAATCGCTGCAAAATCCTGGGCTTCCACTGACAGCTGCAAATTCCTCTCCCAGGAGCTGCCAAGCTTCTGGGGTTGCCATGGACCATGGGAGTGAAATGCTGGCCGCTCTCCGCTGCACCAGCCCGGAGCAGGCTGCTGATGCCTTTCCTCCAGTTCCTTTCAAAAGCTTTTAAAGTAGATCCCCGGGGGGAGGTGGGAGGACCAGGACCTTAACCAGGGCTTCACTGCAAGCGGCTGGGGCGAATAAAAGCGGCTTTTCTCAAAGTATAGAGCAAGTGTTGGGCTTCGGTCTCTCCCTGGAGGGAAAGGGAGAGCAGAGATGGTCCTTCCCAAGCTTCACCTGCTGTAGGCAGCGCCTTTCAGCGTTTTCCCCAGGGATTCCTCATCCCGAATCTTCCCTGGAGGGCGAGGAGAGCAGAAGAGGGTGCTCCTGAAATTTAGCCAGCTGTTGGCCGCTCCTCCTAGCTTGTTTCAAAGGGTTTCTCACCCTGGGGGTCTAAGGGGGGGGAAAATCAGCTCTAAACCAACCGGCTGTGTGATCAGGCTGAATGGATCTATCGGGTGTGACTTGCAAATTCTGGGCACACTTTCAGAAAAAGGGGAATGAAGCGAGATGATGAGAAGCCCCTTAGTCCAGGCCTCAGGGGTTTCCCGGTACCTTCCTCCCCGTCCCGGTCCTCTTTGGATTCTGAGGGCGGGACGGCGGGCGCGCCCGGGGTCTGGGGTTCGCCTCCCGGGAGCCGCGGCGGGTGCAGACAAAGAGGAGGCGGTGTGTATGTGTGTGTTGTGTCGGAGCTGACGAGCCGGGAGGCGGGAGGCGGCGGCCGCGCGGCTGCTGCTGCTGCAGTGGGGCGGGTGGTGGCAACTGGCGGCGACCGAGGCGGCGGCGAGCGGTTAGTGGGGCGCGGCGCGGGCCCTCTCTCCTTCCCCATCCCCTCCTCACATTTCCCTTCTCTCCCTGCTCGACCGGCTCCTGCCTGCCCGGCTCGGGCCAGGGGGACCGGGCCCGGCATCCAAGAGGGAGGACCGAGTCCCGCGCACCGGGCCATCCCCGTGGGGCCGCGGGGGGCCCCGGGGAGATGGTCCTGGAGGCCAGGAGTCCCTGGGGGTGCTCTCCCCGGAGCCGGAAAGTGGCCGGCCCTGTGAGCGCCGAGCCCGGCCTTCCCTTCCTCCGCCCGCCTCAAGATGGAGCTTGGACTCCTTGCCCCTGCGCCGCCCCAGGCGCCGCTCCCTCCTCGGCGCCCCTCTTCGCTCCCCTCAGTCCTGGGGCGGCGGGCCGGACCCCCGGGGGGCCGAGGCCCAGCGGGACCTGTTGCCCCGGCGGTCACCTGAGCCTTCCTCGGGCCCTTGGCAGCGGTGCCCGCGAGCCGGCATGGAGGGCACCCTGGCCGTGGCCTCCGAGGCGGGCGCCGGCCGGCGGGCTGGCCTCGCTGGCCTGGGGCCCTGCCGGCCGTGGCTTTTGTCCCCCACCCCACCCCCTCGAATGGGACCGTGATTCTTGGAGAAGGTGGATGACAAGAGGTGACAGGGATTTCCGAAATAACACCGCTGCCCCGTAACCCGAACCTTCTGCCTCGTCAGGGGATTGGCTCCGGAGACAGATGACACTTGTTCAGAGGTTATTTTCAAAGCAGAGCCTCCTGATTGCCCTCCTTCGGAGGTCCTGTGCTTCAGAAATTGTGGTTTTTGATCCGCGGAGAAACCCTGAACTCTGCTGTTGCTCCACTTCATGTGGCTTTTCCATCTGGCAGGGACCGAGCACCACCCCTTCCTCCCTTCCCAGCCCCACCTCTTTGGTATGAAGAAATTACTCGTTAAGTCTGTAATCTTTAGTTACCTGTTTTTAGCAAAACCTGGGCTCCAATTAACGTGTTTAAAAAGGAGGGTGGAGAAAAAAAATATGCTGCTTTTTTTGGTTGTTGTTGGATTCAGCAGTCTTGCCTTCTGCCTGTTTCAGGTTAGGACAGTTCCTGGCTGGTAAGACCTCAGGACTAGTGTTACTGCTGCTGTTTTTATGGTTGTGGTTCTGGTTGGTGGTTTTTTTTTTTTTTTCTCCCTTTAATTACTTCTGTTACCTATAGTATGTTCAAGTCCAGAGACCAGGTCTGTTAGGATTTGGGGTATAATAATAACCTTTTGCAAGAATCCTCAGGTATATGTTGTTTCTCAGCTTTGGAGCATTTTTTCTCTGGAAATATTAACATTGATTGAGGGCTTTCTGTGGTCAAGCTCTGGGCAGGTCTTTTAAGTGTTTTGTCTCAATTAACCTAGCCCAATGATGGTGCTATCCAGTGCTATTATCCCATTTTACAGAAGAGACATAGAAAGGTCAGGAACCTTGCTCAGGGTCACATAGCTGATAAGTGGTAGTGTCAGGATTTAAGCTCTGGTATTCTGACTCCTGGGCTTCCCTGGTGGCTCAGAGGTGCGGGAGACCTGGGCTCGATCCCTGGGTCAGGAAGATCCCCTGGAGAAGGAACTGGCAACCCACTCCAGTATTCTTGCCTGGAGAATCCCATGGACGGAGAAGCCTGGTGGGCTACAGTCCACCGGGTCGCAAAGAGTCAGACGCGGCTGAGCGACTTTACTTCACTCACTCACTATTCTGACTCCTGGTGCTTGGTAATTAAATTGGTATAGTGATTTTCCTGAAAGGAGCAAGTCTGCCCTCCTTAAAGCAAAGACAGTGGGTGATTACTTGGCTAAGGGCTGGTCCTGAGTTTCTGAGGTTCAGAGAAAGTGGTAAGGTACAGCTTAGGCTTCTCACTAGGCCTAGTTCAAAAGGGTGAACAACAAACTGGGTGGACCCTGTGAAGGTATTCTGTCTAAAGATAAAGATCGCCCATCCCTCTTTTTTTTCCCCCAACAATTGCTTAAGCACTTACCTGTGCTTCTGTGAGAGAGACGTAGGCAGATCTGGTTTCTGTTCTTTATAAGTTTGGAATTTGGTACTTTTCTCATTTACCTTAAAAAAATTTTTTTAACCTATTTTCAAACATTGAGTCTGTGCCATCCCTTGTGAATGCATATGAACTTAAGCAGGTCATGTTTGACTCTTGCTTTTTAAGTTCTGTCTCTGTTGGGATTCCAAACCCAAATCATGATGTGTAAGAGGTATCTTGGTCCTTCTGTGCTCCACAAAAAGGTAGGCACTTTTGAATTTGTCATATATTGGCTGCCTGTTCTTCATTGTTGATGTATTTCTGTTTTTTCCAGAGTTTGTATCTATCTCAAGGTATTTGTGTTTATGTGTGTGTGTATATATATGTATATGATATATATCTATATATATATTTCAAGGACCTTGACTTTCACTTTATAGTACCCCCTACAGAATTCTGCAGAGTCCCGTGTGTTCAGTCAATATTTATTATTCAGTTAATTGAAAATATAAGGTCCATAAGTTTCAGGATTGTTTTTTATTTTTTAATATTTATTTATTTGGCTGTACCAGATCTTAGTTGCAGCATGTGGGATCTGGTTCCCTGACCAGGGGTCGAACCTGGGTCCCCTGCATTGGGAGCACAGAATTTTAGCCACTGGACCACCAGGGAAGTCTCAGGACTAGTTTTATAAAAACCACCAGGGAAGTCCCAGGACTGGTTTTGTAGAAAAAGACAAAACAAAACTGGAGGTAGTGTAGTAAAGTCATAGGAAGATGGCTTACTATTTGTTAACATTAAAAGAAAACTTTCTGCAGTGTTAACTAAAATGAGCCTTTCACCTCGTATAATTTTCCACTTTATCTGAATTATCAGCTTCTTTCTCCTCTTCCTTGTACAAATGAGGTGGGAAGTCGATTGTTTTTCTCTAATATAAAGAATGGACACTGTTGTAATCACTGCAGACCACTAAGTTCTCTTTTTCAGCATTCTTTTGTAGTGTGTGGCAGTCTCCCCAGAGGGAGTTTGTGGGGCTGTGGTGCCCCTGTACGTGGGCTCTACGGAGGCCTCATTTGGAATTCGCTCAGCAGGTATTTACTGAGCACCTGCTGTGTGCCAGTTGCTGTTCTGGGTGCTGGTGATACAGCAGTAAATAAAACAGAAAGCCCTGTTGTTGGAACTTCCTTCAGGTAGGGGAGGCAGACAGTAACCATGTTAATACAATTTATTATATGTTGGAAAGTGATACATGGTAAGACTAAATACTAAAGTTTGGGGGACAAGAGGTAGGGTAACGGAAATTCTAGATAGGGTGATGAGAGGAGACCTTGCTGAGAAAATGGCTTTTAAATAGAGATCTAGATGAAGTGAGGGAATGTTGATCCCTGAGGGAAGAGCATCCCAGAGGAATCAGTTGCAAGTGTCCCAAGGCAGGAGCTTGGGAGGGGCTAGATAATTTAAGGCTGTATTTAAGGTTGTAGTCCTTAAATATGTATTAAATACATATGTACTAAAATATTAATTTATTTTTAATATTTATCTTTGTCTATTTACATATTTGTCTGTGCTAGGTCTTCGTTACAGAATGTGGGATCTAGTTCTCTGACCAGGGATTGAACCAGGCCCCTGCTCTGCATTGGAAGCTTTGGAATCTTAGCCACTGGACCACCCAGGAAGTCCCTAAAATATTTTAGAATAGTGAAAGATAAAGAATTTTGTGCCATGATACTAGCGATTTTGTTCAAGAAGAAGTTGAAGATGTGGGGGAAGTGAGGCTTAAAGAATTTCAGTTACTTGTCTTAAAGGACACACAGCCAGTGAACAGAGAGCTAGAGATTGAACCTTAGTTTATATTATTTTAAGCAATGCACAGACTATATTGGCAATGAAACCTTAAGTAAGTGGCTGGCAGAAAGGCCAGATCAGTACTTGATGTTCAGACTTGCTATTAAGAATATACTTTCCTGTTTGTATGCAGGATTTTTGCTCAGCCCTGGGAGACCTTGTAACTGACATTTGCATATATTGCGTTTTCCTGGAATTATGCTCCTGGCAGCAAAGCCTTCCTTTTTAGTCTTAAAAGATTCATGATTCAAAATCTGTGTTTGATAATAAGCCTTTAAGTGTCTTCAATCTTAATTGGAAGGCAGTGACGGTATTAGTCTCAATATGAATTTTTTAGATGACTGTTTAGTGAGGTTTTAAACTAATATAGCATCTTATATATGTATTTTAATATACATAATATATGTTTCCCATGTAAATGGAACTCAAGGAATCCATATGCTTTAAATCAGCACTTGAGTTACAATGCACTTTTAAGGGAAAACATATTGACTGATGGTACTGTACAAGAATTTCAAGAGTGACCTCTTCAGATTTCAAATCGGGAACAGAAGAGCTTTTTTTTTTCCGGTGGGTTGGCAGACTGTAATTAACCAACCTTGAATTTGGCTAGGACATCTGGGTTAATATCCTGGCCCTGGCACCAGGTACCAAGGAATCTTGGCCACATTTAGTAAAGAGCTTTTTTTTTTTTTTTCCCCCAGATCTCCCATCTGGCACTTACAGAAAGACAGATTCCACTAGCACTAACTCAGTGGGTGGGTCTGTTTTTTTGATTGTCTTATGGTGGTTCAGTAATGCAGTCTTAAAAGTAGTCTTTGCAAAATCTTAGAAAAGTAGTCGTCCTATTACAGAATCCCTGTTGGGAACCCTTTCCTATATCTCTTTCCCTGGGGAAGTGTACTCTCATCTGCCTCTTACTTAGGAATCCTAATGAGACTACAGACAGGCATTTTGCTGCCCTAATGTTTTATATAAGCATAAGGTCTAATATACTTCTGACTTGAATTAAGTAGTTTGGTATTTGTATTCTCCTTTGCTTACTTATGTCTAAGTATAGCTTGGATTAGATCCCAGTTTTAACTCTGCCCATTTTTTACACTTAAAATTGCAAAATTGCCAAGTGCTTGTTTTACTGTATCTTTTCTGAAGTTAAAGGCCTGAAGATCCAGATGTTCAGGATGTGCAGATCATCCAAAATTTGGGTTTGATGTACAACGGAAGGCAACTTTAATAGATTCCCCCCCGCCCCACCGCCCCCAGTTCTACAGATCCCTAGTCAAGTAGAACACTAAAATATTTGGCATACTTTTTTCCCCTGTCTTCTCAGGAAAGATGAGATATTAGGGAAATTTTCTTTAAAATATTTCAATCAAATCTTTTGATTTCCTGCCTTCTTTCTTTATCTGGTTTCCTCCATAGAATGATTTTTCACTGGAGACATAACATTCTAGTAACTTAAGGCAGGAAGGAAGATACATAGACTCTACATTTCCAGACTATAGAAAAATTAACTTTATAGGCAGGGTAATTTTATTTTATTTTTTTTACAGCTTGAGTGAAAGAAAACTTTTTATCACTAATTATTTTTTCACACATGGGTGACTGGAAAAAAGTGTATTGCTAATTTCTGTTGTAAGGCATATGTGGCTTGCCTGAGTTTCAACATTGAGAATCTAGAATCAGTCAAATTTAGATTTTTAAAAAAAGCATTTTCTAGTGAAGTGATCCCTTTTTTGAGGTTCTCGGGTTTATTTTCGCCTTGGATACCCGTTTTACAAGGACCTTTGCATTTTAATAACATATACTAGTCATCCTATAATATGTGGTTTCAGTGCATAAGATATAAACACACGTGTTAAAAGAGAAAAAAGCAAATTATCCATAATCCTACTGCCCAGAGAAAATTATTTCAGTGTTTTGGAGTACATCCTTCTAATCTTTTTCTTTATACTTAAAAAACGTCTTTATGGCTGGATCTGTATTTATATATATATATTTTTTAATATTCTTATTTATTTAGTTTTGGCTGTGCTGGGTCTTCGTTGCTGTGCGGGCTCTCTCCGGTT